GAAGAATGGGAGTTCATATAATGTACTGCATTTGACACAAAGTACAATGTACACCTGCAAACTGGTAACGGCTAGGAATCTGTGGTTTATTATGTGTCTAATATATCAGGGGGGAAATAACAAACGAAGCAAAATAAAAAAAACCAACATGAAAACAAGACAAGACAAAACCAAATGTATCCCCCAAAAAGCAAAGCACAGAACACTAACAACAACAACAAAAAAGGGCAAATTCTTTGACCAAGCAAAAGACTGACAGAATTAGACTAGGCTCAAGGATTTGTTGAATTGTCAAAACAGAAGCTGTGTCTAAAGACTACTTTATTACATTGACTATCCATGTCATCGTAGCATTAAAATGTATGATGGGTGGTTAACAAAATAAAGCCGTCTCTTGCTGTTTGGTTTAAACAAAAACACGTATAACAGTTATAATACATGAATACTTTTCATTTATAATATTGTCATCATAAGTCTATGTATGCAGACTAGTATTTATGAGCCTAGACTATGGTAGATAAAAGCACAACTAATTCGAACCTAGATTAAATTTGTGTAGTGGGCGTGGGTTGGGGAGTAGGAGTGGGCGGGGTTGAGAGGGGGGGGGGGGGTAACGTCTTTTCAATCAGTTAATTATTTACGTTGACAAATACACCTCTCCATGTCATAGACACTTTGTTATTCTTTAAATACATGTATTTCGTAAAATATTCTCGTATTTTAACCAGTCTCAAGTAAAGGTAGAGAGGACACCCCTAAAAGATACTTGAATAAACAGAATATTGATTAAATAATGTGCTTCTTTACGTCAACATGATCACGCAATGTATGAGTTAAAAACTTAACTCTTACAATGCCGAAGGGATTCGCTTGGTTCAAGATTTAATCAAAGCATGAGCATCTTTACTTTCCAAATGCCTACATTTCGTCAGCCACGCCTTTTATTACAAAATAGTATGTTAAAAATATATATATTGTAAAATAAAAATGAGGTTCCTCTTAGTCCCCTACGTTTCTGTTCTCATTATTTATTTACTATTGTTTGATGTAAAAGTGAAAGAAAATGCTTTGTTAAATATGTAAGTTTCTAGATCATTTCTAATGGGAGCATACAATTATCTTTAGTTACGTGTATTCCCTTGATTCATCCTAAACCATCACATATTTCTAATAGCAATGATATCATCATTAACATGATCACCATCATCAACAACGTTTTAATCAGCATCATCATCATCATCATCATGATTATCATAATTTCCATGACCCAGGGAAGCCTCATCAACTCCAATACTATTTCCCCTGAGGGCTCTGCAATTACAATTCCGAAAGCAACTGCCAGGTGTCCAAATACACCTCGGTGGACACTGGCAAATAGAGACTTAACGGACCTTCGTCATGTTAGTGCCGGGCAGGGATTCGAACCCTCAACCCTTGTATTGAAAGTCAAGCCGAGTGACAGAACCACTATACCACGACACGTTCTATTAGGGCGGCAATAGGGATATTAGATTTACACGACGAGAACATGGACCGCCACGTTTGACATCCTTTTAAGGTAATGTGACGTCCTTTTAAGGCACTGCCGGGCAGCGAATTTTTTTTTCCCAAACAGGTTTACCTATGAGAGTAAAATCTTGCCTCCTGATTGGTTCAGAGGTATACGCATCATGAATATTCATGACTGAGCTGAAAGATACTAGTAGTATTACGCATGCGCGTGACACAAGGCGAAGCTGCTCATGCAGCTCATCGAAATCCAAGTTTGAGTTCGTTGATGCAGCGCAGCTATAGTACGTAGGCTATACACTGCATGCATGGATATGCATGCGCAGTGATTGGTAGAATGAAGGCACATTATAACTTTTGAAGGAATAAATGGAGGCATGAGTGAATTTGCAAGTAAGATATATCTCACGCATATAGTCATTTTAATGACTGATGATTTAATTGGCTAATTTAGATTTTTAGTTCATTCAAGATAACTTTTGTTCGTTTAAGAAAATGGTGACATTTTTCATAGATTTCAGTAAGTGTAATACATACTTGTAATTAGAATGTTCAATGTATTGACAAAGAAAGATTATTAATAGAACAAAATCTTGAAAATAATTTGGGTAAAAGTTCATACTACTTTTTTTATGTGAAAGGTCATGCTAAATTCTTGCACATAGAGTGTTCATGTCTAATTTCGAATCTGAGAATAAATAGTGAGAGTTCAGGTTTTAATTAAAATTGGGATTTATTTTTTATTTTAATGCTTTGAAATTGTCAGTATATAGTGTCAGTAGGTTATGTTATTATGTATTCTGAATTAGTCTCAAAAGCAGTGACACATGCATGCAATATATATGGAGTCTCAAATTTAGTTGACAGAGGCAGTGAAATAAATGTGTGTGGGGATTGTATCTTAATAACAGAAAATGTAAAATCATATCCTGTGCATGTCATATCAAGTTTAAATTCATGAAAGTAGGTCAAAGGTTATGAACCTGCTATTTGTATTTATTGTTGAAAGCTCAAATTAATGCAATGAAATGGATGTCCTTTAAATATTGTTTTGATTCTGATTTAAGTTAGATAATCTTGAGAAAAGAAGTTTGAAGATATAAAGATTGAAAAGGACTTAGTCAGATATTCATGTTTAAATAAGAGATGAATCAGTGTAATGTGCACTTGGTATGCATATTAATAATAAAAGCTTGTCTTTGACATGTGTAGAGCCTGTATATATTACTTTATGTCCTTTGTTTTCTTTGGCCAGGTTCATCTGTCACAAAGGAACCAGAATCACTGATATGTTTGTTTGTTTTGTTTTATTTCCACTTTTTCATATCAATACAAAGAAACATACAAATAAATATAATGAATAACATGTAAGTTTGACAAAATTTGTTTCTAGTTAAAATAAAAGTTTCATACAAAAGGAAAAAGCAGGAGACCACATGTCGTAAGCGTAAATGCTTGAACATGACCGTGGCCTCTGCCGAGTTAACAAAATAAAAGAACAACCCATGCAACTGCATTGTATTCAATGTTAAATAAGATATAAGTGAAGTGATTAAAAGTGAGCATGGCTGAATTAATTTTGAGTGAAAATAACAAAACAAATTTAGTGAAATATTTCGTGTTGAGAAGTGCATTTGTGCAAGGTGCAAAAATTAGCTTGGTGGAACAAAAAAGAGACTAATACCGTGATATTAATTGTGTGTTGGTTTCAGTTACGGGTGATAATATTAAATGTTTGTCAAGATATCATGCTCAGAGCAACACAGTGGCTTTGACCCACAACCAACCATCTCATGTCGGACCATCCTGATAAGATAATTCATACCCCTTGTGTGTGTCTATTGTGTATTCTTGACAGCTAGTGTGTGCATTTGTTGCTTATGTGTTTGTAAATACATGAGGGTGGGTGGGTGTGTGTTTATAGAGAGAGAGAGAGAGCGAGAGAGAGAGAAAGAGAGAGAGAGAGAGAGAGAGAGAGAAAGATAGTGTTTGTATGTATAGCCTATGTGTGAAATTGGAATATTAGTGTGTGTACTGTAAGTGAACTCTTTGAGAAAAAAATCCGCAGTGTAAAACTATATAAACCAAGCACCAGAATAACCAGAAATGTTCACAAACAAACAGACCCCCCCCCCCCCTTCCCCCAATAAATATCCCCTCGCACCACAGCTAGCTCAAATACATTTTGTACACCTAAATGGCCAGCAAAACTGAAGTCCACGCGCATGCGTGATACATATACTAGGTACTGCAGCTCAGCCACAGTGCTGTGAACTCAGCTCATGAATATTCATGACGCGTATACCTCTGAACCAATCGGGAGGCAGGATTTCACTCTCATAGGTAAACCTGTTTGGGAAGAAAAAATTCGCTGCCGGGCACGGCCCAGTGCCTTAACCCAATGTCACACGCGGCAGTCCACGCTCTCGTCGTGTAAATCTAAAAGTTCCTAATGTGTGATTGAGAACACTCAGTCAGTCTGAATGTCAGACCGGCAGAGCAAGAGTTAAGGAAACTATGTGCAGCTGTGCATTTTCCATTCTTTCTTGAAAGATCCGTCCAGGGATGTGCATGCTCACACAGCGTGAACATTATCTGACTGACTACATGTAAAATTTAGCAAAGATCTATACCATCACTCCATCTTTGTACCAAACAGAAAACATAACCCAACCTGAACCATAATCGTAACCATAACCACAACCCTATTCCTAGACATAACCACAACCATACCCTAAGTCTAAGCTACAATCCAACTAAAACTCTAACCATAGTCCTTTATAGATTTGATGCAATAAATCTTTGAGCAAATTAATGTTGAATCACAATGACTTTTTTTTCTGAGGACATACTCATGTGCAAAGTTTCGAACCCAACATTTTTGATTGAGTATCATTTGAATAAACCAAATACATCATGATGCTCTTTATCTCTTCTTCCCCCCCCCCCCTCTCCCCCCCCCCCATCTTTCTCTCTCCCCCTCTCTCTCTCTCTCTCTCTCTCTCTCTCTCAACCCCTCTCCTCTTCTCTATTTCATCTCAGGCCTTCCCCATCTCCCTCTTTCTCACTTTGCTCCGTTGGGGGGGGGGGGGGGGGGGGGGGGGGGGGGGGGGGGGGGAGTAAGGTCAACTTTTTAGGTCTGTCATTGGCATAATTTTTTAATATATTTTATAATAAAAAATACAAATACAAAAAACCAAAGGGGGGGGGGTTCTTCCAAAATACACACATAACAAATACCGAGGGGGGGGGGGGGGGGTTCAACCCCCAAAACCTCCCCCCCCCCCCCCCCCCCCCTGCGTACGCGCCTGTTATCAGCATTAACACTATCACCATAATTATCATTATCATTATTCTCTCCTTCTCATCCAAGTATGTTAACTCTATTTTTTCCATCTTGCCCAGTTCAAGTCCACGTCAGCACGGTGCAAGGGTCGCCATCTCGATAAGTTAATGTCCCGGTCCAATTCAAGGTGCGTCACCCCCGTATGGAAAAGCAAAGATAAATAGAGCAAGCATTGTTGATTTGCTGACATTCTTGTTTCTCGAAGAAGACTCTCAACTGGTAAGTGTCGACTTTCTGTTCAATTGTTCACGATTTGTAACAAATGACCTAGCTCTTAAAGCGGGACTGCACTACTTTGTAGCTACCTGTGCCCTCTACACAGCCCAAAACGACTAAGCGGTGCCCGTTGGTCCCCCATGGTCCCCTTTTTTCGTATGTTAATTGAGAGCTGATCTGATGAGATAACCACCTACCAGTGGCCATGCAGGGAGGTCTAATCACTCCTGGCCAAACTAGTGCAGATAGGCTTTAACTCTGTTCTTATCAAAGATGATGATGATGACGTGAAATTAAATAATTGTAATTAAATCATATCAAAATCAAATCGAATCAAAATCCATTTCTTTGTAGATTCATCAAAGATGCTTCGTTTCTTTGTCATTCTCCTGGCGGCGGTCTGCGCCCACGCCGGCGTTAGCGACCCCAACTTTGCAGATGGCCGTAAGGTCATCGTTCACCTTTTCGAGTGGAAGTGGGCCGACATCGGCAAAGAATGTCAGGAGTAAGTGATACTTGATTAATATTTCATTTCACCCTGGCTCTTGAAAAGAGCGTGAGATTGATAGCCATATGAAGACGGGAATGCCTCCAAGTGGAGAGGAGAATGTGCTTGATTATACTTTTTGCCAATGCAAGCATTTCACGGTTGTATTTAAAAAGCCTCGTTGAGTTGAAATTTACATTTTTTTTTTTCCATTTCTTTTTTTCTCGTTTAATTTCCTTTTTCATACATCCTTTTGTAATTTCTGTGAAATTTATTTGCCTCCTTATTTCATCACTTAAAATCCGTACCAACGCTAACATTCCCTTCATTCTACCCCATATGCCATACCCACCCCTTTCTTTATCCCTGACACCCTCTAAAATCCTATCACACCACCCCATCCCACTCTTTTCTTTATCCCTGCACCTCTAAATTTCCATCATTCTACCCCACATCCACTCCTTCCTTTAACCCCGACACCCTCGATCTCCCTTCATCCCACCCCGTCACACTCATATCGTTGTCACTGGGTGACCCTCTATTATCCCCTTTACCCACCACCCCACCCCTTTGTTTATCCCTGACACCCACTCATCCCTCCTAATCCAATCCCATCTCTCCTACAGTTTCCTTGGCCCCTATGGCTACGCAGGCGTGCAGGTTTCCCCTCCCTCTAAACACATAACAGCAGATGGCTATCCTTGGTGGCAACGCTACCAGCCCGTGAGCTACAGTCTTGATGGGAGTCGGAGCGGTTCGGAGTCCGAGTTCAAAGATATGGTGGATAAATGTAACAACGTTGGGGTTCGAATCTACGTTGACGCCGTCATTAACCACATGGCCGCTGGTAAGGATATACAAAAGTCTGTTTCCATAGGTACCCTCCTCCGGTGCTCCGGCGCCAATTGATTCGAGCTTCATTTCGTCATCCGGGTTGTGGCGAGGGTTGAGGAAGTGTTTTTCGAATAACACGGTTTACATCTTAGGGTTGGGGTTTGGTTTGGTCAGTGGCGTAGCTAAAGCTAGGGGACACAGATGCACGTACCCCCCCCCCCCCCCCCCGACCATCGAGAAAGAGAGAGAGAGAGAGAGAGAGAGACGGGAAGAGAGAAAGGGACGAGAAATAGGGACTTCTGCAGGACAACATCCAGCTCCCAGTTGTCCTTCACAACTTGAAACTTACCCCATGATTCCCCGACATAGCAACAATTAATGTATGGAGACTGGATTCCAAGTACTGTAGTTCATTAATGGAATAACTCGTAACTAGCTCCCCATGAAAGAAACATCCATGAATGTGAATATGTTAGTAAGCCGGTCTATTTTCGTATTTCATTTTTCGCGTAAAGCCGGTGCCAATCCCCAGCCCCTATGACTGCAAAATGAATAGCAATGCTCTAAACACATTGGTGTTGAATTCAACAACATCCCCCTATCCTTTATCACCTGATAACTTCACATTGTCTATTCTGTTTCTAAAATAAAGGAAGACATATTCACATAAACGTACAACTTAGTTTTAGAGAGATAAAATTAACTTTTTAAATATATCTCCCCCCCCCCCCCCCCCCCCCCCCCCCCCTCCTCCGCCGATGTGCGGTCGCCAAGATGATAGTTACACATTCCCAGACGTGCCTTACTATCCTGGAAACTTCAACGTACCGAATGGAAGATGTTCTTCGAACAGCGGAGGGATCGATGACTACTCTAACCCGGATGAAGTCCGCTACTGTAACCTGGTAGGACTCGACGACATTGATTTCAGTTCCGGTCTCTCTAGTACTAAACTGGTCCAGGACTACCTCAACAAGCTCCTGGGTTATGGCGTGGCTGGGTTCAGGATTGACGCGGCCAAGCACATGGATCCAACAGAAATTGAAAACATAGCCAATGGGTAAGATAATAACTATTAACCTCTCTCGCTTTCTCTCTCTCTCTGTCCCTCTCTCTCACATACACACATACACTCTCCACCTCTCTCTTTCTCTCTCTCTCTCCACGTCTCTCTTTTCATCTCCCTCCCTCTTTCTCTCTGTCGCTTTTCTCTCTCCTTCCCCCTTTCTCTCTCTCTATCTTCTACCCCTTTCCCTCTCTCTCTCTCTCTCTCCCCCTCTCTCTCTCTCCCTCTTTTCTCTCTCTCTCTCCTCCTCTCTCTTTCTATCTTCATCCCTCTTTCTCTCTCTCCCTCACTCCCTCTCTCTTCCATCTTTCTCCCTCACTTTCCCTCTGCATCTCCCCTTCCCTCTCCTAATAAACATTAACCGCATAGGGTGGACATTAATTTTGGAGAGTCCAATTTTGGGGATCACTCCGCTTTGGGGTGGAAATGAACTCCTAGATTGGAGTGGATTCCACCATTCATTTTGAGAAGATTCAACTCCAAGTGATCCCTATAAACGTTATGAGTTATACACTTGTTAACAGGCCCGATTTCCGGTTGAATTCCACTAAAATAATCGCAAAGTGTTTCTAGAAATAACCCGAAGTGCAATTTTGATACCCACTTGCATTATCTATAGAAATCACGTTCGGACTAGGTAAAAATCATTGCATGTTCGCACATTTCAATAAGGAACGCATACGGTTGTTGACATTAATTCTTTTGTATAGGATGAAGTTTCCGAAAGTCTTTGCTACCTTGTTAAAGGTAAAGACCAGTATTCGAAATGCCCCAATTTCAAAAAATGAAATGGAAGCTCTCATCACCAATCATGTGAAAGAATATGTTTTGACTAATACATGATGATAACAAATTTGCCGGGAAACCGCCTACTAATTCATATATTTGGAAAATTTGTTTCTCTCATGGACTGTGAGTGATATAGGGTAGTCCCATATACATCTTCTGTGTATCGTGCTTGTAACTTTACGAAGAATGGGCCAAATTTCTTATCATTTTGATGATTCCAGAACCTTGCAGATGCTAGATGCTAGATGATCGACCTTTTCTGATCGATTCCACAACGTTTCTTTCACAATGCAATCGCATGACCATAACTGGCCTTTACCTTTAACTGGACATGATGCGCAGTATAAGAGCATTACGTCTATGATAAGAGGAAAGGGAAATAAAAGAAAGACGAACAATAATGAATGGAATCGAACATTGTTACAACCTTCATGGTTAACTATACAAACCCCGTCCATTGATTATGTCCAGCATTGAGGGGGGGGGGGGGGGGGGGGGGGGTGGGGGGGGGGGGTTGAACTCTTTCAGATCACATGGTTCTGGTATGGGCAGGGAAAAATATATTACATATATTGTCACTCTGTTTGGCCCGGAAATATATTAGAAAGCGAATGTATTTTTGTTCAAGCCCCACTGCACTACTTGTAGCTACTTGCGCCCTCTATATAACAAACAATGCATAATCGGTGACCATTGGTCCCCCATGATCCTCTTTTTCTTATGTTACTTGAGAGCTGAGTTGATGAGATAACCACCTGTCCAGTGACCTTGCAGGGTGGTCTAATCCCTCCTGAAACTAGTACAGATATGCTTTAAAGCATTGATCAATGAACCGGTATGAGGGGGGGGGGGTACGAACATTTATTTTGAAGCATGATTCACCCTTCCGTTTCTCCTCTTTGTCTTTATTTTTTGTCTCAGGGCAGTCCCTTTAGCCCTTCCCCTAGCACAAAACACAAGGCACTAATTTGACGGATTTACTGCTTTGTAATGGAAGTAATGGCTAATTTGCAAAACTGTCCATCTTCCGGTTTTGATTAGCAACAGAAAAACCCTTGAACGCCTGTTTAGATTAACATTACACTGGAAACATTTAAATAATCCCGAAACCTTTGATGAGAAATACAATGTGGCACGTGGAGATCATTTCCATGGCACGTAAAGAGTTTAATATCTTTAGTTTGCAGAATGTCTTCGGTGGTCGTCCCTACATCTATCAGGAAGTCATAGACCAGGGTGGTGAACCGATAAAGGCAGCACATTACACACACCTCGGCGATGTCACCGAGTTCCGTTACTGCACGGAAATCGCGAGAGTGGGTCGAGGAGAAGTTGACCTCGGATATCTGTACAATTTCGGAGAGAGCTGGGGCATGCTTCCATCATCCCAAGCTGTGGTCTTCGTTGATAACCATGACAACCAGAGAGGTCATGGCGGTGCCGGTAGTGTCGTGACCTACACGGAATCAGCCGCTTACAAGAAGGCAACCGCATTTGCTCTTGCCTGGGACTATGGTACTACAAGGATCATGAGCTCCTACAAGTTCAGTAACACCGACCAAGGGCCTCCCGGCAGTAACGGTGTCACGTCGTCTCCGGAATTCAACTCCGACTCCTCTTGCAAGGGTGACTGGGTCTGCGAACATCGATGGAGACAGATCCGAAATATGGTTTGTTTCCGCAACGCCGCCGGCACCGCTCCCGTCGACAACTGGACCACGAGACTCAGCAATCTCATCTCTTTCTCCCGTGGCAGTAAGGCTTTCTTCGCGATCAGCAACGAAATGTCGGACAATTGCCCCTGGCTTCAGACTGGCCTTTCCGGTGGTACCTACTGCGATCTGATCAGCGGTGACCCAACCGACAGTGGTTGTACTGGAAAGGAGATCGAGGTCGAAAGCGATGGCGCTGCTCAGATCTGCCTCGAAGCTGGTGAAGACTCCATGGTAGCTCTCACCTACAAGGCCAAATCTGGGAGCGGTGCTGGTTGTAAGTGGTAGACTGGCCAAGGGGTGTTTCACAAAGATCCTAAGTTGAACTAAACTCTAAGTTGGATTTGAAAATTATGGAGAGCCATTTGTAGACTTAAAATAAAATATATTCAAATGCGAAAATTCAAGTATTTTAGACTTTAAAGGGCCCATGACATTGAAATACAAGTGTATTCCTGTTGGTGTGCAGTTCTGCATACATCTCATATTTTGATATGTTAACTTCTGAATTTGTTTCATAGATTTTTTTTTTTTTTTTTTAAATATTTGTTTTTCAAACTTGCTAAGCTCCACCCCAAAAACCTAAAAAATTAATTCCCCTTCTGACATCATCTGTCAGTCATCAATGAGCTAACTTGAAAAAGTGGTATGTATCTTTGCCGAAGTCGACCACCTGTTGCAATACGTAATACATTAGCAACTTAAAAGTTGCTATGTCAGACATGCTGTAGCATCACGAGGAAGACAAAAGGCATTGATGATGTATTGTACATTATGTACGGAAGCATGCAATTCTATTATGAACGTGTACTAAGCTGGTGGAAATAACATACCATTGTCTATTCTAGAATATTAGTTTAGTCTGAGATGTCTGACATAGCAACTTATATGTTGCTATTGTTTGTGGGATTGTAACAGGTGGTCAACTTTGGCAAAGTTACATGCCACTTTCTCAAGTTAGCTCATTGATGACTGACAGATGATGTCACAAGGGGAATGAGATCTGGAGGTTTTTGGGGTGGAGCTTAGCAAGTTTGAAAAACAAATATTTAAAAAAACATTTAAAAATCTATGAAACAAATTCAGAAGTTAACATATCAAAATATGAGATGTATGCAGGACTGCACACCAACAGGAATACACTTGTATTTCGATGTCATGGGCCCTTTAAATAACTTCCACATCAAGAACATGACATCTCCTTGATAATAGAAAATATAAATGATTTGAATCAACATTCTATGCCTTTTAAAATAACTTTTACAAAATATTTTCATAGATGCTAATGGCTTTCCATAAATGTCTTAGAGATAAGTTCAACTTAGGATCTTTGTGAAACACCGCCCTGTTGGCAGCATGCATCCGGGAACTGGAAAGATGTCCCCCAAATTAAGTCTTACAATTTAAATTGCACCGAAATCCTCTGTAAAGTAAATTAACTAATCAGTTCAAATTATATTAATTTATATTACATTGCCATTTAAATCACCCATATTTTAGAAGCCAGTAAATAATGACCAATCTTTGTTTTATTGAGTAGGTTACCAGTTTTCCGACGCACATGTTTTCGTCTGAAGAAGCCGGCGGACTGTTACCTATTGTGGTTTCCAGAAACCCTCATTTGATAGTACGAGTACTATAGGAGATATTCACGATCAAAGTACTATCTTGTATGACATTCAATAGGGTGTTTCCACAATAATTAAGGGCCATCTAGTATCGACATTTCAAAGATTCGTTGCAATGCTTTTGCATGACATGGAGCATTTGCTATAGCTCCACTGATTCGTATAAAAACATGCAGGATAAGTTGACGCGTAACAACAAACAAGAAATAAACAAAAAATCTTGTTCATAGGTGCCCAGAATATCTATTTCTTTAACAGAATATTTTGGAGCACTTTGCATAATTAAAAAAAGCACACACCCTAAACAAAAACACAACCCTACTATTTATGCCCTACATAATGATGTCTACGTTGACTGAACACGACATTACAAATTAAAGATAAACTTGAGTTCTAGTAAAAAAAAAAAAACAGAAAATGAATTCTCACAGAATCTAACAAAACATAACCTGAATGTTCAAGATTACAAATAAATGTCATGTGCCAAACAATTTTGGAAGAAAATGTATACTGGCTGAGTAATGAGCATAGTAAGATAAGGAAATCAGGGTAGTACTAGCCCCGACACCATGTGTGTTGTCCCATATACAGCTTTCTGTGTAAGTGATTGTTACTTTACCAAGACTGCCAAATTTATGATGATTGTGATGACTCCAGAACCTTGTATTACACACCATTACTTACATGCTATATGATCAACTTTTCTGATCCATTCCACACCTTTTCTTTCACAATGCAATCGCATTATCAGTACTCAAGTTTATCTTTAAGAATAAGGGTTCGATAACATTTGTTTTGATTGTGCAGATTTGCATCTTGAGGAAATTTAATAAATACCAATATTTTTGACGCATGATTATTATTCGAAAGTTCTTGAAAAACAAAGTAAATTGAAAAGCAGATTTCGTGTTTGTATGTGTCTTCATTATTTTCGTACATTGTCAGGGGTACTCTGCGCAGACAGTTTTCAGCCCCACGACCTGTCCCTGGGGCTCGGGTCGGGCTCGGGTCGGAGGGAAGGAGAGAGAGAGAGACAGAGACAGAGGGGAAAGGGAAAACGAAAGAGAAGAGAGAGAAAGAAATGGAGAGAGAGAGAGAGAGAGAGAGAGAAAGAAGAGAGGTCAGAAAAAGACGGTGAGAAAGGGAATGATTCAATAACGAAAGTCAGATTATCGTGAGATTAAAATTCAGTAATTTAGAATAAATAAAAAGGAGCCCACAGAGAAAACAAACATACAACATAACCATTACGATCTCAACCCTACCTTCATTAGGGTGTTTTCGCAAGCTTAACGCGGACGGAGAATCTGCGGTTCGTGTGCAAAATCGAGAAGCAACTATACAGTGCGTCCCAGTAAAAACGAAAGCGAGAATTATCCGCTGTTTTATATCATAACTTAATTACAATTATAATTAATAAATGACACATATTTGTAAAGCTTTTGTCCTCCTCTTTCATTTGATGCAACTCATCTGATGCATATTTCACGTATGAGTAATTAAACATAATTTGAAGAGAGGAAACCAAAAAGTCATTTGGCGGGCGGTATCTGAATTTCAAAGAGAAAAAAGAGAAAATCACATTTTCTGCCCTTTCATATGACACCTCAATCAGGAAAAAATTAGCCAGGAGTAACAAAGTTCTGTCTGCTTCAAGTAATGCTTGCATTTCCATAAGTTGATTAAACGAATTCTTTTCACTGGCTGCCTGACGTAGCAACAAACAGTTCACTGATCGAGCGTGTCTTTGGCATGCCGTTTTAACATTAATTCCTATTCTTGATATCAAGAATTAACATTGCTTTACAACAGAAAATCATTTCTCGATATCAATAATCCAATTCTGGATATCAAGAAATAGTAATAAATGGTAAAACGGCTTTCCATGGACACGCATGATCAGTGGACGTTCTCGTCCACTCTTCTAAAAGTCCCTAATGACGCCCCAAGTGAACCAATCAGCGAGCTTACACCACAAATGTTTTTATGCCTCCGTTACGAAGTAGCCGGAGGCATTATGTTTTCGGGTTGTCCGTCCGTCCGTCCGTACGTCCGTACGTCCGTACGTCCGTCCGTCCGTACGTCCCGTTCTCGTGATCGCGTTATCTGAAGAACCGATTGATGGATTCCTGCCAAACTTTGGTCATGTATGTATCTTGCAGAGCCGATGAACTGATTAGATTTTGGGGTCACGAGTTTAAAGGTCAAAGGTCACAGGGCTCATTATGTATGCAAAACAGCTCGTGATCGCGTTATCTGAAGAACCGATTGATGGATTCCTGCCAAACTTTGGTCATGTATGTATCTTGCAGAGCTGATGAACTGATTAGATTTTGGGGTCACGAGTTTAAAGGTCAAAGGTCACAGGGCTCATTATGTATGCAAAAACAGCTCGTGATCGCGTTATCTGAAGAACCGATTGATGGATTCCTGCCAAAATTAGGTCATGTATGTTACTTGCAGAGCCGATGAACTGATTAGATTTTGGGGTCATAAGGTCAAGGTCAAAGGTCATGCGGCTCATTATGTATGCAAAAATAGCTCGTGAACGCATTCTCATTAGAACTGACAAATGGATTACTATTTAACTCGGGACATCTTGTAGAGCCAATGAACTGAGTAGATGTTAGGTCATGAGGTCAAAGATCAAAGGGTCATATATGTATATGAGAAATTGCTTGTAATCACGATATTCTGAGAAACTGTTAATGGATTACAATTGAACTTGAATTTGAAAAATTTCTTCTGTTTTTGTTTGTAAAATTGCTCTATGACGGAGGCATCATTTCGACTGCGCGCAGTTGAAGTTCCATCTAGTTGTACATGCGATGATCACATTAGAGGACAGAAAATAAGGATGACGAATTTCAACGCAAACGGCTCTTCGGTGAGTTTTTTTTCGATTAATGTTTCTTAACTATAACAACATGAATATGGATATAACATGAATAATATTGTTTTAAAACTGGATGATGAATTGTTGAAATGAGCGAAACCGATTATTGTAACGAGGGCGGTCTGTGCGTGACGGCCGTAACCCTGAGTGCTTCAGCGTCGTAGAAGGTCTGTCCGTCGCTGAGCGAAAATTCGATAAAATATGATGAACAGAACGCTGTCGGAAATAACGTAAACTAGCGTAGGCATTGGGAGCTTTCTCCTGTCCTGTGTATGATCGAATCTCCTTGGACGAGAAACAGACTAGTGCCATCTACCAGATATAAAAAGTGCCGTCATTCTGTTAAAAAATGTTGTGTAGCGCCATCTCTGTAAAGGTAAGTACAGCAATAACTCATATCAAGTCGGTTGGTTTGTGACAAAAGTTTAAGAGTACACGAGCTATGATACAAAGAAAAAAAAAAAAAAACTAAGACGAAAACAAAATCAGATAAAAAAACTTCTAGACCAACCCAAATTTAAGGGAAATTGAGCAGATGGAGCAAATAGGCCCTACATGGATAATTTCTTTGGTTGACTGGTAACAGAAGAAACATTACATTAAAAAGAACCAACAGTTAGAAGTAAATGGAAAGCATCGAACTGGGAGAATATACCTTCAGTGGCGGATCCAGGGGGGGGGGGGGCACAGGGGGCACGTGCCCCCCCCCCAAAAAAAATATTCCCATGGCTGACCTCAAAAAGATGACCTTACCCCCCCCCCCCCCCCCCCAACGGAGCAAAATGTCAATTTTTCAAATTTCGATACCAAAAAAAAAAAAAAAGT